GGGGGGGGGGCAACGGATTTGAAGTGTAAAGACACCCTCTTGTAGGAGTGGCAGATGTACGTACACAACGTGAAAGTAGCCTACTCTAGGTGCACTATGAGTTCAGTTTGTATAATATTGAAGTACGGAACGGTTGGCCCTGGTTTGAACCCCCAACCCGCATTTGGAACATGGGTAATTTTTAGAAGTTTTTTGAGGCTCAGTCCTATCAATGGTGGATTTTATTTTCAGATTGGGAGGTCCGGCCTCTTAAATAAGCAACAGTGCTGAAAGGGGCGTTAAATCCTTACAATTCGCCTTAGTATACTATATCTCTGGACAAGAACCGCTCCAGACCAATTGGTCGCTTTTAAGCACATGGAGGATATCCCGAAAAAAAATCCTGCTTTGAGAAAATCGAAGGTAAAGATTTTGCCCCCTGTTCAAAATACTTTAAAGGACAAGGAGAGTTTTCTCTATAACCAAACAAATATACACACCAAAGAAACCAAACTTCTTCTGTACGTAGGTCAATGCCCACTTTTGGTGTAGGTCAAAGATTTCTGGAAACCCCCGAAATCTGGGTTAGCCCGCTTGTCCTTTTAAAAAAGCGATCAATTGAGACAGCAACAGAAGCTTCGTCTACTGACATGCTAGAGCCAATTGACTGGCTCCACATTTTACTGGTTTTGCTGGGGTCACCATGATTCATACAAGTTACAAGTGTGTGTTGCTCCGACCAGAACGGCCACTTTTTCACATAATCTACAAGTGCATCCTTGAATCAAAATCAGGCGTTACGGTCCAACTTGACATCAGACTTTGGCCCCAAGCTGTACTGTATCGGTATAATATGCCACCCAAGTGCCTTGCAGCTTGTCGGTTTATGATGTGTAGTGTAAACGTGTGTCCTGAGGTGACAAATACAGGCCGGTACAAGCTGGAGTGGAAATTGTCACTCCTGCTCTTTCCTGCATCTGTCTCCACGGTGGACCATCAGTTTGACAGTGGATCCTATCGTCTGTGGAAAAGGAGGTGCGAGAGGAAAAAACAAATCGGCCCAGAAGAACATGGATTCTCGCTTCATACATGTATTTACTTTTAAATTAAAACGAACATAACTTTGGAGACTATTACACTCTTTTGGTCAGTGAACCTTTTGCCGCTTTTTTTGTGTACAAAAGGGTTCTTTCTTTTACACTACACGTCCTTATGAGCAAGATATACAAGCAGTGTCTTCTGAGCTTGCAACTTCAAGATATTCTGAAGAAAGAATTATTTTTTGATTTAGTAGAGGTTTTACGGCGCTCGCAACTGCATACGGTCATATGAGCGCCAGAAGATTAGAGGTGCTACAAGAGAGTTACAAACATAAAAAAAGAAGGAGGGGAGATAAGGACGATAGATGCTTGATAGGAAAGAAGAAGCAAACCACACCAGAGCACCCGCCAACCACCCACAGAATTATTGTAGACAGGTTTTTCACAAGTAAAAATACGTATCATAATTGACAGAGACTTTAAAAAAAAGAGGATTGCAGTACTTAAAGAAACTTTTAGTAAGATGAAACCCGTCCTCTCAAACAGAAACACAGAAATACAAACCCTGATAGCGAATGTGTGGTCAGTTTGTGTGGATGGGAAAGCTGGACTCCAACTTAAAACGAGCACGTATACGTGGAGAGACTGCAGGAGGCTGCTGAAATGTGTATGGGCCACCAACAAGAGCCCTCCATAAACTTCTGCCCAGGGCTATATAGTTTTTACCTCTGCCCAACAGTTACCCCATTTCCTTTCACATTAGGTACCTTTGCCTTGCGCTGGCTGAAGTTGACATAAACCTCTAGTAGCCAATTTTTCCCAGCAATCGATGTTTTGACATTAATTTTAATGGTGTGTTTTGTTTTGATACTCACTGAGCCATGTACTAAAAGTGCAGCAGCTAACAAATCGAGCGTGTCAATACAAATACTTAATAGATGTAGTAGTATCAACAGTACAAAATGAACAAGTTCTCATCATCATCATCATCATCCAGTGCCAGATCTGCGACAGACATCGGCGATCATGATTTTCCATTAATTCCTTTGCTCGGATGCTCTCAGAAAAGCTACGTTTCCCTGATCTTTCCCTGTTACCCATTTGTTTAGGTTCCCTAAGTATGTCTGTCCTCAGAGAAAGTTGCATTGGAAAATAGCAAAAGTTGCGAAAAGTTGCAAGAAAAATTAGCAAAAGTTGCGGGAAAAGTTGCAAGACGTGTAGATCTATAGCTAAAACAATGCCACGGAACTATTGGAATACATTGTTGCTATGCTCATTGCAATCAAAAGTAACCAATATGAGTTTTGTTAGATCAAAATCAGAAGTTAAATGTGAATGTCTACCAAAAACAACAACAAAAAAACACCAAAAAAACCCAAATGCATTGAGGTTGCATGGTGTACAAAAACAGTTTGTCCCCTGACACATGCGTCAGGTCCTGGCACTCTCGCTGACGTTGGGCAGATGTGACCAGCGTGGTTTTGGGGCTGCTCAAATATAATCTTACACTTTGTTTGGGACTTTTTGCCCCCCCCCCCCCCCCTCCCTTACACTATTTTTTACACTTTCCTGCACCCCCCCCCCCCCCTCAATCCCGTAATATTACGTTATTCGCATATAATAATAATACAACATTTAAATTGCGCAAATCCGTGTTACAATCACTCTTCTATGCGCTTTACTTTTAAATTATTAATTATAGTATTCATGAAAAACATGCATACACACATGTGACATAATAATTAAATACGGTACAAGCGGAACTTTTCCAGAAAAACTTACGGTGTCATTTTACCGCTTTAACCGCACCTGTGTAATCAAGATTAAACTACATCTACATGTCATGTAGCCCAGATATCTACCAGTGTATAAAGTGCGAGATGACATATTATATATCGTGCTTGCATGCCGGTCGAGGTCCACTGTATCGCCACAATGCAGTGCTTACCACTCGAACTTACTCTAAGTGAATAGTGTAGTAACTCTATTTTTATGTTATTTTTAAATTCAACCCCCC